CCCCAAAACCCCAAAACCCCTCTATCCCTAATATATCAAATTATATGCAAATCAAGAAATTAAGGGTGATTAATAATATCAAATTTTTATGTTATTTAGTATGCATTCATTACTTTTGATCTAGTCTTATTTTAACCAGTCTGTTTGATAGTGTATCTCTTTGCATCTTTAAATCTTCTATCTCTCTCAGATTCTTGCTATTTTAAGTGGAGTTATTCTTATTTATAGCCGTTATGTCATCTTTCAATTACTACACTTGTTTTTCAAATTTTTAGCGCATTAGTTCGAACTCAGATCTCAAAACAGCTTCATAAGAATCATCGTAGTTCTTTTTCTTGCTTGAGGTGAATTCTCTTAATGCTTTTTCTAGTAGCTCAATTTGTTGATGAAGACTGTCAGACTCCATCTTAAGATCTTTTACTGTCTAATTTCTCTAGTCAATTTGGCTTTCACACTCTTATATATAATCTAACTTGCTGTCTAATAGTAATTTTAGAGTCTAATTTTACTCTTTCCAATTATCAGTTTCATCCTGCATTTTCAGTAGGTTCGCATTCTCATGCTTTAGCTTTGATATCTCCTCTAATTAAGTCCTTAACTTAAGGGCTACTTCCTCATCCTTTTACTTTAATTGCCCTTGTAGAGAATCCAATCCAAATATATGTTTCTAATTCAACTCTTCAATCAATTTTTAATGATCTTACATCATGATATCAGTACTTGATTGCAAAGTCTTGTACTCTTCATCTAAACTCTTAAATTTATCTAATTACTCAAGCAAAAACTTAATCTCATTTTCCAGATTCTCCTCGTTTGACTTCAGTTAAATTACATCATTTTCTAATGACTCAATTTACTTCAATAATTCATCATTGCTTTTGCTATCTGCTTTTAAACTTTGATTAAAGTTTTTTAGCTGATCATTTAGCTCTTCTATTCTTTTAGACATCTTGAGCTTTTGTTAATCATAATCTAGCTTTGCATCCATATTTAAGTTCATTAGTTCTTCTTTTTCTTCTAATAATTTGACTATTTGCTACTTTAAACTAGCTGAATCTTAATTTGAAGACTTGTATTGCTTCTTATAATCTTTCATTTCGGCTTCTAAATCTTCAATAGCCTTTTCAAAGTTTAAGTTTTAGGCGTCAAATTCTTTAATGATCTGATTTATTAACTCATCAGTGATAATTTATCCTTTGAACAATCTTAAGCTTTTAATATCTCCAGCAAGACTGTTTATTCTACCCTAATCTGGATTTTTATGATTGCAAGATTATGCAAAACTAGAATTTAGAGATTAAGCTTTTTGAGAATTTCCATTAGGAGTCTGGGGAGTTAGTTAACATTTCTTTTTCAAATTCGATTAAAGTTAGAGATACACAAGTAGCCTATCTTTTTGAGATGATTGATAATTTGGGTCAAAATATTACTTAATCTGGGCCATATCACTGTCTAAATACCCCTAAGCTTAAACTTCTAAATAAGCGAGGACTTAAAACATAGCAACAGCTAAATCATTTATTTCTTCAAAACCTGTCAAAGACAATATTTTGTCAGTAGAATCAGCAGCTTGCAATATTTGCATGAATTTAGACTTAACATCATTAGGGTCTTTACTACTTTAACTCTATTGATATAGAGCTACTGTCTCATTTTGAATTTGTGTCTGTAAAGAACTTTTTTTATTTTTCAATTCTTATAGATAATGTATAGAGCCAGCCCAAAAATTCACAAATTTCCTTTCAGTCCTTTCTATTGGCTTTAAGAGAGATTTTTTCATTTTATTACTTAACTTTATTATGAATTTCATCAAACGCTTTAACTAATGCTTATTGTGGGGTTTTGGGGTTTTGGGGGTTTTGGGG